TTTCTACTCCATTTACCTATCAAGTTTCACCTTTCGAGACTGACACTTAATTGGACAGTTAATTCTCTTATAAATAGGCAATGACCGTCTGCAGCTGATTGAGAAGTCAAGAAATTTCATGACATCATTAAATTCTGCTCAACTCGTGATCTTCGCCTTGTTTAAGCTAGAGGTGGTCACTCCAGTCTCGCTTGCCTTTGTCGATAGTATTCTCCTGACTATATGATACCGTTCACCGAAATCCATACTGAACAAACTGAAATGGATGCAGAAGGAAGCACTGTACTTATGTTACCCCTTTCACTCCGCAGGCCGGTGTGTAGTGAATTATGAGTAATCAAAAGCGATAGAAGCAAGAGGTCAGTGCAACTTAAGAAGCAAAAGATCATTCCAACATCACTTTAGGCGTAACAAGCAACCCTTATGTGTTGCCTCAAGCAGAATGACCAAATACTTTTTCCAGCTGATCAGATTGGAAAATACTTTTGCCAATAATCGAGACATATAAATCTCATTCTGGTGCCTGCCTTTAAAGGACAACAGCCATGTTTTAGAAGCGTAACAAAATATTAATCATCCGCAGAGGATAAAACAGATTTTAAGTGAAGAGTGGAAGCCAGAACAGACCAGAGTTGGTTCATAAACTATCCTGGGAGTACCAGATCAATTACACGAAACGTAATTCACGCTTCTGCACGTGTTAACGTCTGCCTTTCAACACTGGATAAATGTTAGGTCGTCTACTTTGTTTAAGTTATTGTGAGTAATTTAAGTAGAGCTGACTAGCGTTGTTCCGAGGTCCCTGTCAGAGCTATTATTTTAGCGTGTCCCTTGTCTGAATGAGTAATATCAGTTTACCCATCGCCTTTAATAACAACTACCACTACTTGGAGAGACACGAACGACTTTTACATGAATTGGTCTAAATGAATATATACGTACAGACGCGGCAGCCATCCCTCTTTGTACTCATATCGTGCTTCAGTGGTGCTGTTAGATATTAGATTTGACTCATCAGCTGAACAGGCATCTTGGCCATCCATGACAATCGCTTTGAAAGTTATTCAGCTGCAAATCCCAAAACTAAATTATTCCGTCGGGAAGATTAATCGGAGCTAGGATTTTTGAGACAGTTTTGGTCAGTTTGAATGCGCCTGGTATAGGTGACTCAAATCCAGTTTATTGGAAAACTATCGCCCCATCACATGCAGGGTAAGAATAGGTCCAAGCGACTGTGGTTTAGACTGGATAAAGTTGGAGAGGGATGCATATGCTGGGCATATTACGATGCTAGCCACCTAAAATTGACCGAAGTGTGATTAAACACATAGCTCCCAGCGGAGACTTGTAGTTCAGGTGGTTAGAGTATTGACTGTTATCAAGCCTTAACTTTGCTTTCATTGGTTCGAATCCCATCGAGGTCGCCAAAGGTGCCACAAGTGGGTCGAACTAAACAGTCAACTCCGCCAATAGTACTTATTAAAAGAATTAAACTTTACTTAATCCTCACTGTCGTCCGGTATGGAACAAATAAAGTAAATATAGGCAGCGTGTCACGATCCGTATCGAAAGGATTGGTATACGCAGATGCTTTATACTTCACTTAGGCTCCCTAACACCATCCTAGTTCATTCCCTTTTATACCACCGAACATCGGTATATAGGTTTGAGGAATATCTACTGGAAAGCTATGTCGTCTTAACGGACGTGCAGAAATCATCAGTTTCAATCCTACTATCAATTTTCACTGCTGAAAGGTAATCAAAAAGGATTAGTCTGTTGGAGGACCTCTTTTAGCTGCAATTTGGCGTTTTCACACATGCTTTACGGATCTTGCGGCGTCGCGTGTACGGTTTACGCTGCACTCGATTGCTCTAGTTAGCTGTCGCAAAGCCTCTGGTTTTCTGCCTCAGACCCTTTTTGGGAATTAATGCCATGACATAATTTATGTCATAACCAAGTCATTGATATTTCCTCAGCACACAATGCTCGCTCCCTTTCTTGGGAAAGCGTAGTGTTTCGGCTAGCGCCAACGTCAAGTCTAATTGGTCAATTGTTGGCCAATTAGCACACCAGTTTGGGCAGAAGGCGCGTCCACACGTCACCGCTTAAAAGTTGTCAAACACGGTCATGTGGGTACATTTTGAACCACCCCACTACCGTCCCGACGGGGGAAGAGTTTGGTGAAAGGGGTTTCCACTTCGCTACCAATGGCTAAGCGGAGGGGTGAGGAGGGGGGAGCGGACTCAGCTGACAATGTTGCCTGTCGGCCGACGCAGCGAATCAGAAACGACGGCTTTAGGGCCTCTGCAGCCTCACTCTGAGAGCATTCTAAGAGAATCGTGTTCAAAATGAACAAGTCCGTCAGCTCTTTCATGATAGATGACCTCTTAGAGAATGGACCTAAGAGAAGTAAACCGCTTAAGGGCGTAGATAACGCCCCAGGAACCACTAAGCTCAGAAAATGCGGCACACTGAATTATGTTAGGTACGAGAGTTGCTTATCATGCTATAACCTCTGTAGCCTTTCAGGGTCGCGGAGTCAGAAAGCCCAACCACAGGCTGTCGAAGAGTTTGAAAATCGTCTGTCGGAAAATTCCTGTATGTTTTTTTTTAAATGGAATTGCATCCTCTATAAACCTGTAAAATGCGCTTTTTTCTGTGTGTATGTGCTGACTTTTTAAAACTGTAGCGTAGCGTTTCCCAGAAAAATAAAAGGTGTTTGATAGCTTGGGCGTTATTGGAGCTAACTCTTTTAATTTAGTAGAAGTTTCTGATCCGACAGCATTACAGTCTCTTTTAGTCGAGTAGGGCACAGACGCTAAACTCGGAGGCTAGGTTCGCCTGTTGTCGTACCACTCAGAGCTCGAATCCATCAGGCAGCTATGGATTCCGAATCAAATTTATTCCTTGAGCATAATTTTTGAATTATCTTTCCGCTTCTTGTTCATTTTGTTTTTTTGGCTTAAGAAAATGGAAAGGGAAGGCTTTCCATTAGTTTGGACAATCTTCGTTGCTCAGAAAAAGAAGATACGATCACTGAGACAGCAAATTTATTTTCCTGACGTTTCAGATTCTGTCAAGGATCCTTAACCATAAGTAACCGTAGAATGGTGCGAGACACCCGCATGCGGATGACCACTACGAACTATAAATACCGTGCAATCTGTGCATCTGTCACCCCCATCGTCGCATGACTCACACTATCCTACGGCTACCTATGATTAAGGATTCTCGACAGAATACGAAGCGTCAGGAAAATAAAATTCTTGTTCCCATGATCGCATCTTCTTTTTCTGAACTGCTTTCTGGAACTCGCATCTTCATTTCTATTGGTAATCGTCTTCGTGCCAAATATGCGCAGATTTTCAAGGCAAGAAGGGCTCTTCACTTGGAGCGAGCCTAATATAAGTTTGTTTTTATTTCCCCCTCTTTATCTAGTCGTTCCGCTCTCGATACCGGAGTCCGGAGTCTTTTCGATTCGCCATTGGCTCGCGCAAGGAGTAGCACACCGGGCAGCCAAGAGAGATCACTGGCAGGAAATCGCCGAGGGCACGGGCGTTGTTGCCGGAACTACCAATGCCTCCCCCTCCTCCACATCCTCGACCCTTGAAGAGTCTGTAAAGAAGCCCCGAAAGGCGCGGACAGCTTTCACCGATACCCAACTAGCAGAATTGGAAGCCAACTTTGAAAAGCAAAAGTATCTTAGCGTCCAGGACCGCATTCAACTGGCCAGTCGTCTGAAATTAAATGATACGCAAGTGAAGACTTGGTACCAGAACAGACGGTGAGTTTTGATATCCTTTGGGCTCGTCAACAAACTATTATTGTCATATTTTGCATTCGTGATAATTTTGCTCTTTCTTGTCATTCTTATCGTCCCCAGCCTGATTCCGGTGAGTAAATCAAACGTCTTTTCCTTGGCGAGTGATTCTCTCACTACCATCAGCTCAGCTCGGCCCATACTTCAAATTTTCCATAGCATCACACATATTAGGACCCAAGACTTAATTTGTCTTACCTTTAAAGCACGTACCTCAAGCTCAAACTCCTACCTATCGCAGGTTACACCAAAAGGTAACCAGAAACGATTACTCTCGTCATTTATTTTTTTGCTATTTAGTATCCTCTATCCACCGATAAGTCTTAAAGGCAGCTCATCTCCCTGAACGCCAAGCATTCAAGACTAAAGTTCACATTATGCGGCAAAATTTAGTCCGAAAAATCATTACAAGCGTAGAATTGAGGTTTTAACTCTCGCCGAATCCACCCCAGATTGGCTTTCTATTACCAATTCCCAGAATGTTATTCCTAAAATTGGATAAGGTGCGGTCGACGCAACTAAAAATGGCAACAGTAACTCTAATGACCTTTCCCTGTTGAGGATATGTATTTGAAAGCAAAATATATTTTGATCCAGTATCTATTAATATCGTTCTAAATAGTGTCCTTGTTTTGAAGATAAGTATCCGTCCTTGGACTTCATGCAAATCTTAATTTACGATGTGAGGTAATCAATTACCCAACGAGCTTTCAGACACACGCGCTGGAAGTTTGGTGGGTATAATACAGCTTCAGAGTGTTTCAATCCAGAAAAACTTGCTGTGTTCTATGCCTGGATCTTGTAGGAAACTAACAGAAAAGTACAATAGTTCCGTTGGGGTAGAGACAGTCTTTAAGATGCTTTTATTTTCACCTCTCAGGAAGCTTGGGTGTTATCTCCCTTTTGAGAAGAAGAATGGGCTTATTGGCCAGCTATGCGACAGTAAAATTTACTGGACGTTTAAGTTCTAGTAAAAAGTATTACAGTTTTTAGTTTATGTTAGCGTAGATAGCTCAGAATGAATTTATCCTAGAAAATGAATGCAGTTTTGTCATCTCATATTGACGAATGGACTGAAGTTGAAGTCTAAAATATGAAGCAGATTGTATGCGTTTCCATGGGTTCACCAAAGTTTTCCAAGAGACCGTTGTAGATAAATGATTCGGTGGACAAAATTTAAAATGTTTTGGAAATAATCGTTTGAATGTGCAGTGTTGTCGAATGTAAATTGAGCTAATTTATGCACACAAGTACACTAGCATTCTGGTGAGCACCTTCCCAACTATAGCTATAGTAATTGTGAAAGTAAGCGATGATAAGCGGTAGTAAGCGATGTAACTTATGTTCTGTGTGTTAGTTCATTTACTAACTCGGGAATTAGATCGAAACCATCGACTACGGTACCAAATTAGTTAAAGTAAAGCTTACATCCAATGGAAATAACATGCTGTTTCTTACCAATAACACTTTTTAACAAAAGACGGGAATATCGAAGCCAAAAGAGTTTGTTTTAAGTTAGTAAACTTACTCTGTAAAAGTATAAAATGTATGTGCATTTAAAACCTGCGTAAATAAGTCACCGTAAGCACAACAGCGTTTATTTAACACGTTTGGTCAATGTTCAGCCCTCAAAAGTTAATGTACTGTGCACTATGGTGGCCAGTCTGACTCCTTTAAAAGGCTACGAGGTAGATACACTTGACTAAAATGGAGGCTAAAAGAGGGCGCAATGCATTTTGTCCAGGCGGTGCACACAAAAAATGCCCCGCATGGGGTCTAATGGCACACCTAAGCGCAGGTTCACGCCGCACCAGCCGCCTGCGCCCAATCCAAGCATCGGATGGCTGAAAAGCTGGAACAGTGGACTGGTGCATGGGAGAGGACGAGGGAATGAGGTCAATCCTTGGGACTCCGTGCTACCGACATTCAATGCATCTCCGCCATTAGGCAAAATCTGACGTGCATTTAAATTATCACAGTGCCCTAAAAAGTGTGACTTGAGAGGCTATCAACTGACAATGATAGCCCACTCTTCCGCTCAGGACGAAGAGTCCGACTTCAGTGGCTCTTTCTCAACAGGATCCTTATAGTACTTTAACTCATCTGAGATTCAGGACGCACTTTGTTGCTTGTTTAGGAGCCAGACCAGGAGGTAAGGGTACATGTGGTAGGGCGGTTTGGCGGTTTCAGTCACTGCCCCAACCTCGCTTATGGACTTCTTGACTCTCTCATGACACCGAGCCCAGAAAAGCGAAGGAGGAGAGGGCGCGGTAGATGCCTCGAAAGTTTAACACCATTACAAACTAATTCACACGGGGGTCACCGTCCCTGCGCTCACCCTGGTGGGCGGCACCTGATGGACATTGTCGATAACGACAGGTGAACGGTCGAGACGATAGGCAGTCAGCTGATTTGTGTTACCTGATAAGCAGCCAAACTTAAATCGCAGGAATTCAGTGTTTCGTATTATGCTGTTTGAGATGCACCTGATTACTGTGAAGAGGAACTCGCCTGGTTTGTCTGACAGAAATATCGCCAAACTTATTTTTTCATAAGTTTACCTTTCGAAAGGCTGAACACTGGCTAAGTAGCCGGAATATGTGACAGATACAATCAGCCACATCCCACTCTCTGCATATCAGAAGAAGTTTCTGCACATAAAATTAATTTGTGGACGTTGTTGATTGTAGGGTTCGTATAAATTGAAAAACACGCATCCCAAGAACTTTTAATTTGAAGAAGAAGAGGTTTTTCTTTGGGATAAAATGTAACTTTTATTAGTAAATTTTACAGTCTGGTGTCCCAGCTCATCTTCAGCCTAACATGCAATGTGCAATGAACAATTAACAATTAACAGACCTGGTTGGTAGGTGCGACCCCAAGCAGTCTGTGTCGTGCCGGCTTCCTCTCTTCGGCCGTTCTTTTAAGTGTTCATAAATACCATCCAATTGTATGTGCCGATTGATGCATGAGTGGTCGGAGTACATGGCCTCAAGAAATTTTCGGCCATTTTTGGGTGGGCAAACTCCGACGATGCGTGTTTTATCCCATGCAAAGGTGTGTCCTGTGTCGAGGCAATGCATAGCCACTTCAGACAAATGGTCACGTCTCTTCACAGCCGATTGGTGCTCGTGAATGCGTGTTGAGGCGGGTCTTCCTGTTTGGCCCAATATACAGTATTACAACCTTCGCTGTTCTTAGTCAGTTTCTCAAAAAGATAGGTTCTGTATGTCGGGGTTGTCGAAAATTTCAATAAAAGATGGCATTTGGATATATTTACTTATACAGTGAAGTCCTGAACGTTGTCTCGTCTAGAGATGGTCGTTTGAATCGTATATGAAGACTCATCTAAACATAACGCCCAATCTACTAGGCAAGCGGATGTTCGCAATTAATGTTTTTAATGCCCGCTCTTCCTCAGTTACAAAATCTCATAACCGTTCTCTCGGTAAAACACGAAAATAGGTACCAGATGGCCGTGCGCTAAGTTGCAGGAGGTTATGGTTAAAATATGAGAACATGTGCGCCTGAAAGTTAATGCAAAGCCATCTGCAATACAAGGATACCCAATCCCCTATCCGAGCATCCCCTCTTTTAAAAATTATTTGCTGGGGTATCTTGTAGATGAATTTTCATCTCCGTCATCTTGATCTAAAGTTAAGTTGGTGAGAAGATTTAACCGTGTCCGGTAATGCACGTCTATTGTTGATGCCGATACTACTGACAATGAAAACAGCTGTGTCCCCCCTTAGTTGTAACTTGGCCTTCGCTATCTTTACTGGAGTTAAGGCTCTCGGTTAAAACTGAATACGTAGGTGGTCCCGATTTTCTACCAATTTGCGATGCCCTACAAGTTCAAATTTTAATTGTCTTGCAAAGTTACTGGCCTGACGAAGATTTACCGAAAACATGTTTACCAAAACACTGACTTTCTAACTTCAAATACCTTTAAAAATATGCTCAATATGATGGTATATTCCCATAGTTAAAAAAAGTTTATAATTGTAGGAGTATGTAGGACCGTAAAATGTTCACCCAAATAACTTCATCTTTGTCTGTTGCATATTGAGCGTTAGGAACTACATAACATAGTCTACAACGATAATACAGAAGAAGGCGACTCGATCGCTCTCCCAGTGATTACACTACTTTATGGGCCTTATATGGTGTATTCCTATGGGTCTAACTAATTGGGTGATTTTCCATACATGGACATTTCAAAGATTTTGGACGATTTACCTTAGAAGCAAATACAACGGCAGATCGGACTCAAAATTATTGAGAATTGAACAGCCTTCCTAAAACGTAAATATACCCTTTCTTTGAGTAAACCTATTGAAAAAAGACGTGATTTGCTACCAAGTGAGGGCACAAATGAGCATATTCCTCCTAGCAGAAATTAAATTACACAAAAGTAGAATTGGCTGTGTACGTAAATTTTTAAGCAGTAATTTTGCGCAGGGTTTTTTTGCAGTTACTGATAATTTTTTGGACAGATCAGAAAATTACAGACGCGTTATAACTAGTAAAGGTCTGCTCGTTTTTACGGTTTTTTATGGCACAGGCTTGCTGATGTTTACTGGTTAGCATCTTGCAATAAAGAGAACTTATGTCCGTTTTTTTGAAAAGAGCACACTTCCTCAGTTTTTGTACTGTCCTACTTGTGCGCACAAAAATTCAGAAATCGAGTTGACAAAAAGGGACTTTGGTAATTTCTAGATAAATACACGCAGACAAGCAGATGTGTTTATGGAGATAATAAGGATACGGATTTGATTTTTTCTCTTTTCGGTTTTTCCACCGACTTGTACGGTTTTGTCGATTGGATAAGCGTGAAACAACCCCTGCATGTTAAAAACGATTTTCGCGTCACGCATTGATATAGTAAGTAAAGCACCTGACGTCCCAGTTTACGCGGAGTAAACGTTTAGATTTTACCCTTCACATTTCCTCAGTTTGCTCAACTTCTTAACCTTAATGACATTGGCAGTAGCGTTTCTGCTATTGTTTATGCTTATGTGTCTGATGAGGGATCTGCAACGAATTTCGAAACGTCAAGCGAAAAAAAAGACTTTTCCCGATGTCCTGATGACATTTTTCTAAGTTAATCCCGATAATTATATGTTTTCGATTATATTTCCTACAAACGAAGAACAAATAATTAACAGGTTTGCTCTCGTCCCAGAAAAGCAAGTCCTCCTAAAGTTGTATACTTATGAAGGGAATAGTTTGGTTTTAGCACTTAACAGCATACGAAATGACTGATACGTATGTGTGATCAATCCCGTACTTGAGCTTGCGCAAAACTGCAGTACTGTTTACAAATGCATTCCGCAACCTAAGTAC